TGCCCACTTAAAGAAGTCGAAGGTGGCCCAGTGCGAGATTTCTCAAGTTCTTCAGTCCCCGGCTGCTTCCACTCCTCCGAGAGCCAGCTTCTTAATGTAGCTCGGACAAACTGGCTACAAACACCAGAACAAGTCGGTCTTGATATAATCGACACGGAACATTAATAACAACGATCCTAGATGCCCACGAGAATCATTATCAAGGAAATACAAGAGGCAAAAATGACCTCCGGCTAAGAGAGAGCTGTTCCTCTGAAGAAGTGCGCCGCGCCCAGATGCTTTCACTCATTATTTCCTTGTGTGTAATCATTGAGGGCAAGGAGCTGATCGGAGCGGGCTGGAGCTACAGGGAGGCTGAAGGTGAGCAGCTTTCTTCTCGGCGACCTCTACGTGGAGTCGGCAGCCCACCAGAGCCTCGGTGATGCTTTCACTGTCTCACCCAGACCATAGTGATCACCTCCATCTGCCTCCGCCACGGGCGCCACTGGGTTTTTGCTCAAAATATAGTGTCCACGCGGACTGCAAACAGTCTGTGAACGAGCCAGGCTCGAAACTACATTTTTTAACATCACATTTAGACAAAAAGAAAAGGTGTTTGCGCAAAACAACAACGACACTTGCAGCGTTGTTGTATTGTAGCGCCCCCTGGTGGTCGTTGAAATGTTTGTTTTTACTGCACAATATGGGGATTTTAGTGTTTTTTTTTTTAAATTGATAAACATGAATATAAGTGTCAGGTTTTTGTGATGTAAGAAATAAAATTTTGTTAATTTAAAAACTTTAGTTGGAAAAATATATTTATTTAAAAGGATGCCATGAAACACCATGAAACTAACAAAGTTAAGTCTGGATAAATGCAAAAGGTTAAAAAAAATAGTTGAAATGTTTCATTATTAATTCAAAAGATTGTGATGCACAAAGCTTGGTTGAGTCACTGTCTCAGGCAAACTCTTTGTTTCTGCAGCTTTAGTCCTTAGAAACAAACCGTATTAAAACCATCCATCCATTTTCTTCTGCTTATCCTGGGTCGGGCCGCGGGGTAGCATCCTAAGAAGGGAGGCCCAGACTTCCCTCTCCCCAGCCACTTGGTCCAGCTCCCCTGGGGGAATCCCGAGGCGTTCCCAGGCCAGTCGAGAAACATAGTCCCTCCAGCGTGTCCTGGGTCTTCCTCTGGGTCTCCTCCCAGTGGGACGTGCCCGGAACACCTCACCAGGGAGGCGTCCAGAAGGTATCCTAACCAGATGCCCGAGCCACCTCAACTGGCTCCTCTCGATGTGGAGAAGCAGCGGCTCTACTCTGAGTCCCTCCCAGATAATAGAGCTTCTCACCCTATGGGAGAGCCCAGACACCCTGCGGAGAAAACTCATTTCGGCCACTTGTATCCAAGATCTCGTTCTTTCGGTCACAACCCAAAGCTCGTGACCATAGGTGAGGGTAGGAACGTAGATCGATCGGTAAATTGAGAGCTTCGCTTTTTGACTCAGCTCTCTCTTCACCACGACAGACCAGTACAGCGCCCGCTTCACTGCCGACACTGCACCTGTTCAATTATCGATCTCACGCTCCATTTTACCCTCATTCGTGATCAAGACCCCAAGATACTTAAACTCCTCCACTTGGGGCAGGACCTCCTCCCCGTCTTGGACACTCAGGTGAAGAGAGGAGCAGAGCTGTCCACATCACTACCTGGTGGTGAGTTGGCTCCGATGGTGGGGGAGGATGCCGGTCAGACCTGGCAGACCTAAATGTATTGTGAGGGTCTGCTGGGAATGTCTGGCAGAGTCTCCCGTGAGACGGAGCTTTAACTCCCGCCTCCAGGAGAGCTTTGAACACGTTCCGGGGGAGGCGGGGGACATCGAGTCCGAGTGGGCCATGTTCTGCGCCTCTATTGTCGAGGCGGCTTATCCGAGCTCTGGTCGCAAGGTTGTTGGTGCCTGTCGCAGCAGTAACCCTCAAACCTGGTGGTGGACACCGGCGGTGAGAGATGCTGTCAGGCTGAAGGAGGAGTCCTATCGGGCCTTTTTGGCCTGTGGGACCCAGAAGCAGCTGATGGGTACCGGCAATCCAAGTGGCATGCGGCTCGGGTGGTCGCTGAGGCAAAAACTTGGGCGTGGGAGAAGTTTGGAGAGGCCATGGAGAAAGACTTCCGTACTGCTTTGAGGCGATTCTGGTCCACCATCCGGCGTCTCAGGGGGGGAAAGCGGTACACCACCAACACTGTTTATAGTGGAGGTTAGGGGTGTAACGGTACGCTAAAAATCACATTTCAGTTCGGTTCAGTTTCAGGGAGGGCTCGGTTCGGTACAAAAAAAGGCCAAAATAAAGACATAAAAAATGTTTATTCTGAAAATATGCCAAGTAAACAATACGTTTGTATAAAAATAAATAAAAGTGACCCATTTGGATGATATTTTAAATAATGGCACTCTTTACAATAAATAAACTATACTAACAATAATGAAAATCTTAATAAATACAATAACAGTCAGAACCAGAACAATAAGCAGCAACAGACTGTTTACAATCTAACTAGTCAAGTTTTAAGTTTTTGGCCAAAAAGACCAACTTGTCCACATTTTCTGTCAAAAGCTCAGATCTAGTTGCAGTGAATATCTCCAGAGGTGGAAAAAACCTCTCACTAACAACAGTAGCAGGAATAAAGAGGTAGAGCTTTGTTAATGTTGCAGTGT